TCGACTTCCCAGAACTCCATTCCCGGGCCACATTTTGGATGCCCGGAGCCAACTGTAGGCCACTTCGTGCTCTTCGAGTTCCCAGAACTCCATTCCCGGGCCACATTTTGGATGCCCGGAGCCAAATGTAGGCCACTTCGTGCTCTTCGAGTTCCCAGAACTCCATTCCCGGGCCACATTTTGGATGCCCGGAGCCAACTGTAGGCCACTTCGTGTAGGCCACTTCGTGGTCTTCGAGTTCCCAGAACTCCATTCCCGGGCCACATTTTGGATGCCCGGAGCCAACTGTAGGCCACTTCGTTGTCTTCGAGTTCCCAGAACTCCATTCCTGGGCATGATTTTGAATGCCCGGAGCCAACTTTAGGCCACTTCGTGGTCTTCGAGTTCCCAGAACTCCATTCCTGGGCATGATTTTGAATGCCCAGAGCCAACTGTAGGCCACTTCGTGTTCTTCGAGTTCCCAGAACTCAATTCCCGGGCCACATTTTGAATGCTAAGGCAGGCTGAGGCTGAGGCTGAGGCAGGCTGATGCTGAGGCAGGCTGAGGCTGAGGCTGAGGCTGATGCAGGCTGAGGCTGAGGCAGCCTGAGGCTGACGCCGAGGCTGAAGGCAGACTGAGGCTGAGGCTTAAGCAGGCTGAGGCTGAGGCTGAGGCAGGCTGAGGCTGAGGCAGGCTGAGGCTGAGGCTGAGGCAGGCTGAGGCTGAGGCTGTGTCTGTGACTGCCGTTGCCGCTGCGACTGTCATCGCGAATGCGACTACGACTGCGAGAACAGCAGAATTCTACAACTGGATTCTCATTTGAATCTCAAGGGGAATGCTTCCAGATATGCTCCTACACATCGCTGTTAGGTTGCTTTGCCGGGATAATTTAATACGGATTTCTCGCCAGAGACTTCGTTAAGTTTACCAAGACTGTAGGATCCATGGCGGCTCTTTTTTCAAAATGGAGCTCTCACTTAAGACTTCTTCGAAGTGCATGACAACAAGGGAACATGTGCAACACTTCCATGGTTGGGTGGCGGCCCTTCTTCGAAAGGGGGGCATCGCTGGACTCCTCGTTGAACTGTATGGACACTGTGTTTTCACGTTCCTGACAACGCGCCAGAAAAATGCAAGGCTGTCCTTTTTCAAAGTGGGGCCCTCGCCAAACCCGCAGGCCCAACTGTGCGAGTCATTCAAGGAGGCGCTTCTTGTAGTGAAAGGAGGACATGTGGGGGCGTCCTCCTCCTCCCGCCCCTTCCGAGAGAGCGTGCCAAACCCAACCCGCGGATCCAAGGGGAGAGCGAGCATTGGCCCATCCAGAGTCCAACTCTTTGGTGTACTCTGGTCCTCCTCCTCCTCCTCCTCCTCCTCCTCCTCCTCCTCCTCCTCCTCCTCCATTCCTTCTCCTTATAAATAACTCCTCCCTGTCGCACCCCGAGACCATTTTTTAGGGCGGGCCGCGCGTTTCGCCGGAGACTTCCTCACCATCTATGCTTCTGAAGCTTAGAAAATGACAACAGCTTCACAGATGGAGGGCGGGTGGTTTTCAAAATGTGGCTCTCGCCTTAGCGCCGCGCACATTCGTTTTCAACATTTGCAAGAGCTTCGCGGATTGAGGGCGGGTCGTTTTCAAAATGTGGCTCTCGCCTGAGCGCCGTGCACATTCGTTTTAAAGTAAGCAAGAGTTTCACGGAGAGCTTCACGGATTGAGGGCGAGTCGTTTTCAAAATGTGGCTCTCGCCTTAGCGCCGCGCACATTCTTGGTAACATAATTGCAAGAGCTTCACGGATTGAGGGCGGGTCGTTTACAAAATGTGGCTCTGGTCTTAGCGCCGCGCAAATTCGTTTTCAACATTTCCAAGAGTTTCACGGATTGAGGGCGGGTCGTTTTCGAAATGTGGCTCTCGCCGTAGCGCCGCGCACATTCGTTTTCAAAACTAAGCAAGAGTTCCACGGATTGAGGACGGGTCGTTTTCAACATGTGGCTCTCGCCTTAGCGCCGCGCACATTCGTTTTCACACAAATTTGGAAAAGTTTCACGGGTTTCCATGATCAACGTACCAAAAAAGTGTTTTGAAGGATTGAGGATTATGCGGGTGCAGCAGTTGTTGATTCGCGGGGTTGAAATCCAAAAATGGCGTTATGGCACGAGTCTGGATCGCCAAAACGCAGCAGTCAGGTTGATACGTGGCGTTGAAATCCCGAGAACAATGTTTTGGCATGCTTCAGGAACTTCAAACGGTTGTCTTCCAACGAGGCATTTCCCTCAATGGAAATGAACCGTTGTAGGGGTCTATGAAGAGGGAGCTTGGAGGAAGGGTTAATTCCAACATCGTTGATGACTCTTGGGTTTACACTGGTCCTCCTCCTCCTCCTCCTCCTCCCCCTGCTCCTCCTCCTTCTCCCCAATGACGGCAGCGGCCTTCGCGACCAAGACGACGACGACGACGACGACGACGACGACGACGACCACGACCTCCGCCTCCACGACTACGACGACGACCTCGAAGACGACCT